TCATACATATTCAAAGTATAAAACAAATAAAAATTGTTATAAATTATAAAAATTATTCATATTTTAGCTATTTTCTGACCCCATAAATATGATCAGATTTTGAATTAGCTTCTAAAACATAATTAATAGTATAAAGAACAAAGACTTGAAGGACATTTTTAAGCTTCAAGACCGCCGTTAAAATAATAAAACATATAGTCTTGGGAATAATGTCAAAATGATTAATTTTATTAGAACCGCAAAAAAGTTATTTTTCGTTTATCGTGTCCCCTTATTTATTTCTGGGATTTTGTTGTGTTTCTTTTTTTTTAGCGTAAAGCCACACAATTGGTTATCTGCACACTGTCCTTTGCGGGAAATGGAGCTTCGGATTCCAGCGTTATAAGTCCATAAACTTACTGGTGCCCTTCCGAAGGACTCCTCATTTGTAAACATTTTTACTATTTTCAACAATTTACCTGTATACAAAGCAATATATATATATACCCACGATAGAAACCCCGTTACATTTTGTTCTGTCACTTTTTAAAACTGCATCACAGAGAAACATCCGCACACATTAAACTTGACCTTTGACTTGAATATTAATAATTCTACGGTAAATAACACAAGTTATGAATATGATCAATACTTGAGATGACCGTGTATTCGCAGGAGTAAATCAAAATTATGCATAGCTATTCTGCTGTTTAAAATTGGAAGAGAAATGTGTGCAATTTTCGCGTATAGGATTTAATGAAATATAGACTTTATTTATATAATTTATGACAGTTTTAATAAAAATATGCACTGATAGTTTCAGTGATGTTTTTAAAGATAAGTTTGTTTCTTTCTTCTTTACTCTATATCAACAAAAACTGTGGGCCATAATTCTAATATTGGTGATTTTGTCGAAAGGAAATTTTAGAAAAGACTGCAAAGTCAAACATTTTCTTGAAACAATAACATTTCTAAAAATGCGGAAAGTATTAGTTAGCTGCTGTCGAATAAAGATAAAATATCCAACAATATCTTAACTAACACGGCAAAAATCCTTCTTTTAATGCCAATATTTAAAGTATTGACACTATTAATCTCGAAGTCATTAACAATGTAAAGCATGCTACTTGTGGCGTTATATAGCTGAGCAAGGATGTTGTTGTGGTTGAAACAGGTGGTTGACCAGTCTTTTGTATTATTATTACCTTGTATTAGCAACAGAGTAATTAAGCATAAATAACTAGAAAATGAGCAACATTTTAATTTTTCTTTGCTGTAGGGAAAACATTAAAAATCTGAGAAAATAGGGGCTAAAACTGTTCAAATGGAAGTTAATTGTCCATGTCTATCATTGATTCTTTAAGAAAGAACTAAGAAGTACATTTACGCTGTTAAATAGTATAGGAAAGTTGTGAAGATAAACAAGTTGGTAATTATTGTGACTAAATAAAAATTATTGGTTTTATTATTTGTATAAATATCTGATATGAAGCTACAAAGTTTATACTCAGAAGCACCAAAACATTAATAACTCACTTTGCCAAATATAGCAACAAAAATCGACATCTTCTCATCAATCTGAAAAGAGAGAGAGAGATGTAGAAGAATACGCACGTGGCATTTTCTCTTTGCAGATTATCTTACAAGTTTATAATAAATACATATGAATGCATATGTATTTCCACTATGAACTTGATTATTTCACGGCGATATAACCAACCTCACAAGATTATATTTGAGAGCTTCAATAGCAGGGATGCCACCAGCAGCCAGACGCCCACCCGCTCGTGTACCGAGAAATTACACTCCACAGACACACGTACAGTCGTGCCTTCCGCCCATCATCTTCATGGAAAATCTACTCGATCATCTGGTATAACGAGTACTGAAGGCGGCAAACGTTTTCCTACATATTTCTAATCGAGGGAAGACACCTTTTTATCAAAATAATTTGGCACGTCACTAAATATCTGACATTAGAATTTTCGTTAAATAGTAATCATAAGATTGTTGATGTGAATTATTTTTACAAATATAATACTTTATTAATGCAGAGTTATCAGGCTTGGTTGTTTGTTTTTTATATCTACAGGCAAGCGATCTAACTGGAAAAAAATAAGCAAATTGAAATATTGCGTGACAGTTCCACTCAGACTTTCTATCACCAACAGTTGTATCGCAATACAGAACTCTATGGACAGTTCCTATTAATTTGCATAATTAACTACATTATCTAACTATATACACAAACACACACAAACGTATTTATATATATATATAATTTTTTTACTTAACACCTGTGATATTTAGAGAAGGATTCTCAGAAACCTATGCATCAAACTCTAGATGCTGCAAAGTAAAATAACATCTGCTGAACACAAATCCCGCTCTAAAGACGAAACTGAAGCACGTATGTCTAATATATATATATATA